TACTTTATGATAGACGTCATAAAAATAAACACACATTGTTAAGTTAGACTCCATAAATGCATAAAAATACAATCTTAACATTTATTAACATTGAATCTAGGATCCCAGTTCTGCGTCATTACTACAGATGAATAAAAAAAATGTGATTGTTACGAATGCAACAAAGATTTTTAGTGTTCGTATAATTCCTAATTTACAATGATCCTGTATAAGGTGTGTATAGTATCCACAAATTAAACAGAGTACCTGGATGACCGAGCTTTTCTCGGTGTTTCTTTAATACCTACATATTTTTTTAGAAAAAAAATGATGTATAGAAAAAAAACAAAATAGAACAAAAGATAAAATAGATAACAGAAAACATGAAAGCAACATTCGGACCGGGGATTGAACCCTAATGTTATAAGTGGAAAGCACCCGATTTTCTGACTAAAATATTTAAATGTTATTGGTAATGGCAATATTTAGTTTTATATTCTAATAATATTATAGGAGGATTTGATTCCATGACACGACAATATCTAAAATCAAACCTAGCTAGATCGATTTATCGCCCCCAAAAGTACCAATTTACAAGAAAATCGATAGAGCCGTTTCCAAGATGGAGACATGTTTTAACTGTTTTATTTGTCAATTATGCAAACGACTTCTTGATATATGTAGTTCTTACTATTGGATTCAAGAATCTCGGATAAGATATATCATCACTTTCCGGTACATTTGTTTCATAAGATAAAACAACAAAAAGTAAAAATCTCATAAGATTTTTACTCTTCACCAAAAATATTCACGACTATCCTTCAAATAAAGTTGTGCCTGATTCAATGTTACACACCAGTGCACACAGAATTCTATTTTATAAGGGAGAAAATATATCTGTATCATAGATGAGATCAAGTTTTTACCTCATACGTCGTTGATGAAAGAAACATTACATGGATTGGTTACTGGTTATGAGGCGTAACAAAATTACCACATCTCTTTTAATTTGAGAACCAAACTAAACAGTTAAGGTAACTTTTATAATAGGGTAGTTTCCTAAATTTTATTTTAATGTCCGTCTGGTGCATTAATTTAAACCTTTAGACACGTATTTTTTCTTTTCTCACAAAATTAATTACTTTCGACGACATATTAATTTGAAATATCGTGTGATGTCATAGTGTGCCACAATTTGTAGCACGTTATGACTTAACGACCTCCCACTCCTAAACTTAGCGCCATTTTATCTAAGTATTGCAACTTAATACGAGAAAAAACAATACATTCGCACGCTGAGAACGAAAGTGACCGATTTCAAAATTTTGGTTTAATGAGTTAAGTATACAGAATGACTCAAAAATGTGTAAATGTTTTCATTATCTAACTGACGGACTAATTAGATTTTTAATTTTGATACCCTGGAAACTACCCAATTCACTCAGTTCAGTTGATGACACTTTATTTCAATTCATGCTTTTATTCATAAAAAAAAAACTATCTGCACGGCTGGACAACCAGCTGCCGCGGTTCGATTTCCGCACGGAGTCACTATTTGTGTGATTCACAAATTGTTGTTGCGGGTGTGGGTGTCATGTATGTATATGTGAATGTTTGTATAGGCACCCACGACACAGGAGAAAATCCTTGTATGGGACAACGTTTTTAAATAGACAAAAATAAAATAAAAATCATAAATGAAAACACTAAGCAAATTGTCAGCACGGAAGTTTAATACATATCGGTTATTACAGTTTTAATATAGCGCAATCTAACAAAACACGTTTAACGATTGGACAAACAACACCAAGCAGAGAGAAAGAATAGCAGTCATAAAGATAACAGTAGAAAGATAAAAACATCCATTATGCATTAATCATAGTAGGCACATAACGTTTACTTTACGCCTTTAGAAAATATTTGTCCTGAAGTAAGGATTTTCCCCCATGGCAGATATTTCCATTATTACGATATCTTTTCCTAAACAAAGTATTCTTACATTTTTACAACATAATTATAATATTATTAAAACCTACGTTTGATGGACTTGACAATGACAAAGCTCAATTTAAGCACTATCTGAGATGCCTTTCGTAATCTTTAAAATTGAATAACTTTGCTCTCTAAAAGCAAAAGTTTTCTGAAATACATTGCCCATAAAATGGAGATTTGCCTAGTCATGACTGCTACCGCTAACATGGACAAAACTCAAGTTTCTTTGGTTTACTTCTGTAAGAGCATTTTGACTTTAACATAGGCAATATTGAGTTGTAAACAAAAATTTAAAACGGTATTCTGCAGATGATTTTATTATTTTTTATTGAACTTAGAATATAATAATTACAATGAACTGAGTTATAACTGATACCTTTATATTTCTTACGTCCTACTCTCCTTACATTAAAGGTGGTTAAAGTCTAATACAATACTATTTTTTACCATCTTTTCCTCTTAATAAATTATACTCATCTTTACTATACAAATTATATTTAGCTTATTTGCGAATTTCTATTAAAATTAATAAACATGTCCAAGTTGCGTTTTAACAAAAAAGTGTATCCGAGTATATGACATCATAGATGGTTATCGGAACCATTAGGCTTTTATTTATTAACCTATTAATCACACTTGTCATGCTACTATGCTGACTAAAAATGATTCTACTTAATTTTGGCACTTGTTGAATTTTTCATTTTGGTACACTTTTAGGAAGTATACGTTTTTATTTCGTTGCAGAATCAAAAGTCTAACATTTTGTCCGTTAAACACGGACACACAACACACACAAACACGTCTCAGAGGTTTTGAAAGTCTAATCCCAGAAAAATAAGCGTAAATGTTGGCAACATACATGAGATGCTCCAGCAGTTGCAACTGTACTTTGGCCTCAGTGACCGTTTACCACCAGACATCCTATAAGCCTTGATGCACTATTTCCAACGCCATACTAACGTCATCTATATCCCCATTGTACAAATGGAAAAATTTGGGCCGACTGTAACAATATAATAAAACGATCGGTAACTTCAGGCAGTAAAACCGAGATGGGACGTTGGGCGTTTATCAGTAAAAACATTTTTTATATTAGGCGTCACATCAGCAACTGGTAACGTTACTTCAGTTCCTTAGAGATAAAATTTTAAAGATGTAAAACATGCTGATTCTTACGACAAACCCATAACAGATCTAAATGACCAAAATGAACTTTTACTACAGGTTTTGTTTGAAGTGAGGAATATAGATTATTTTCCATATTATGTTTAACTGTTCAGCTTATCAAAATGTCTTCTTATTGTAATATGTGCGTACCCAGTGATGCCATCACGTTACAATATAGGACCGTATGTGAACCGATGAAAAACTGCTTTTTTACACTTTATAGGTCGACGTTTGACCACAATCTCGCCTGATGGTAAGCGATGATGTGGCCGACGATGGAGCACACCTTTACAATTTTACTTTTAACTAAGAGCTTTCTTTACAATTAGAGTATTAACATGCCAGGTTAGAATACGCGTAATATTTGATAAGAGATAAACCAATCTCTTTTGCTATTCACATTACGCTTACTCAACAAAACTTCATCGATCTGTTACAGACACTTCATAGTACTATAATAGTAACTTATTCTTTATGATATGAATATATCATCCCATTTTTCTTAAATGATTGACATTTACTTTAACACCGAACCTTCGAAGACGTCCGTATCAACAGAACCGTCCGTATTTTAACTTCTTTGAAATATGAACTGTATTAATTATAAAATTTAAATTAAATAAATATATAGAACTTAAAAATAAAAACTAAACTATTTATACCTCAAAAAAGTAATATTTTATTGTGCATCTACCACCCATTCCCAGATTCTTTTCAAAAATTCCATCCAAAGGCTGTCTGGAAGTAATCGCCGCGTGTGATAAGACCGCCCATTGTACTCAAATTACTATTGCAATGTTTACAATTTTTTTCTGTGTGTGCAATAAAGTATAAATAAATAAATAAAAATAATAAAAATGTTAAGGCATCAAAAAAAAAAAATTTTCCTTATCGGTACGGTACTCAAAAGACTGGCAGCATTGCCACGTTGAATGTTGAATGGCAATGCTTAACCTTTGCCCAAGGTAGTAGCCAGCCCTTTATTAATTGTTAATTTTATAGTTTAAAGTAAATTATTTATTTTTATTTTGCAGTTGCGTGCATAAAGCTGATCTTAGATTAGAGAATTTCTCAAGAATTTCTGAAAGTAGATCATGTACCTAAAGTGTTTGTTCACTTTTTGATACTAATTATTTTTATTATCGAAACTAGCTTACTAAAGTCTTAGACTCAATTACAACGTGAAATCGAAGCAGAGCTCGCTTATTGACAATATATTAAGTTTATGGCCACCGCAATTTCCTACAGGCGACAGAAAAAGAAAAAAACAATCAGTTGACATAGTTTTTGTTTAGTAATTTAATAAGTAATTTACAGAATAATAATTCACAAAACCACAAAGGGATGATAAAACAAATCAGTCAATTTAATGGACTTCCAACCAGCTTCAAACTTTAGATTTGAAATGCGGTTGACAGCGGTCAAATTGTATAAAATCGTTGAAAACTTATCGACATCCTGATTGTCCAGAATCTTAATAGTAAGATTGCCTTAAAATAAAATTTATCCATTGTATTGTTTTTTCCAAGAGCAAACCTATGGTCTCATTACGCCATAAACATCAAAGTTAAACACACCCCTTTCAGATTCCCCAAAAATTTTAACTGTTTAATAAACTTCTACACGCACGTACATGGAAATACCACACCTTATCTTAATTATGCGTTGCGTATCAACACACAGATTACATTGAAACAGTTATAAAGAAGTTAAATAAAAAAGATAGAGCGTTATCTATTGTCTCACAAGATTCTTAAAAAGAACGTTTGAATGATATATAAGACAGTTTTAAAAATAACTTCTATGGGCCAACGCGCTACTAAGTTTTTTTATTTTAATCCATCTTAGTATTAAATCCGAAAATGGAAGAAAAGTCAATTAAAAGTGTGAAAGAAAACGGGAAGACCAAAGATGTTGATTATGATGAACTTCTATCATCGGCTGGAGAATTCGGTCGATACCAAATATTCCTGTTCTTCGCTACGTTTCCGTTTTACGTATTTGGGGCTTTCTCTTATTTCTCACAAGTCTTTTTAACGGAAACATCTCCAAACCACTGGTGTATGGTACCAGAACTTGAAAATTTGACTGTTTTGGAAAGAAGAAGCCTAGCCATACCATTGAATAAAGAATCACCATTCGGATATTCAAGATGTGAGCAGTACGATACAAATTGGACTGAAGTTTTATCATCTGGAGCCACCTTAAACAGAACATGGAACACAGTGCCTTGTAAGCAGGGTTGGGAATTCAATAATACAGAATTCGCTTACCCAACTATAGCAAGTGAAATGGGCTGGGTGTGCGAGAGAGACAGCTATCAAGCAACTGCACAATCAATCTTTTTTGTTGGGTCAATTGTCGGAGGTTTCCTCGTGGGGTGGATAGCAGACCGCTTTGGAAGGATACCAGCTGCCGTTTTCAGTAACATGATTGGAGCTATTGCAGGCACAGCCACCATATTTGCTCATAATTTTACTGAATTCTCAATCTGCCGATTTTTCATGGGCATGTCGTATGACAACTGCATGATGATGACTTATTTACTGGTATTGGAATACGTGGCTCCGAAGTACAGGACAAGAATGACCAATTTATCTTTCGCTCTCTTCTTTACAACAGGTATTGTCTCGTTGCCTTGGATATCATTGGCTTGTGGACATTGGAAAACAATAGCACTTGTAACGAGCCTGCCTATGGCACTATCTCTGTTAGCTCCGTTTATTATACCAGAAAGTCCAAGATGGTTATTGTCAAAGGGAAGATTTGACGATGCAGTGAATAAAATTACAAATATAGGACGTATCAACGGAAAAGAAGTACCGCAAAATCTGATTGATGGATTCAAATATACCACACTTAATAGCAAAAAAGTACCCGGAAATATAATGGATATGTTAAAAAGACCTATCTTGGCAAGAGTATTTGTTTTTACATGTATAGAATTTATGTTTTGTATGATTATTTTCGACGCTCTTGTCAGGACTATAGGACAGCTACAGTTCGACTTTTATGTATCATTTTCTGTGATATCTTTAACAGAATTTCCCTCATTAGTTCTACTATCATTCATATTAGACTATACTGGAAGAAAGTCTATGATATTTGTAGCAATGGTTGTATGTGCTATATTCAGTTTTTTGATACCGTTTGTTGGTGGTGGATTAGCGTCAGTGATATGTGCAGTATTGGCAAGATTTGCAGTCAATATGGCTTGCAATGCGGCCATGCAATGGACAGCAGAAATGTTACCAACGTCTGTTAGAGGTTCCGGTTCATCAATAGCACATATTTGTGGATATATTGGTACAGTAATATCACCGTTTGTAGCATACCTTGAAGTTTTTAGGCCTTGGTTGCCAATGATTGTTGTTGCAGCTATTGCTATTCTAGCAGCATTGATCAGTATAACGCTTCCTGAAACTGCTAACCGAGATATGCCACAAACCTTTGATGATGCAGAAGTGTTGATAAGAAGTCAGGGATTCTTTGATTTACCGTGTAAGCAGAAAGCTACAAATGAAAATGCTAGGGGCCATGCGAATGAGAGTTTTGAATTAAATTAGACTTATACACATTGTATTTGCTCTGCGTAGTGTAGTGTGATTGATTTCATACGTTTTTAAGTTACGTCACAACTTAATAAAGGATTCGACTATTGTGTAATGCTATAGCTAGCGAATTTTTCAGTTACTTGACAAGAAATTCAATATAAGATGAGCGAAATTTGCCAATGTTTTTAAAATAAAATCGATGACGTGTGTATCGAATGTACTAGTCAAAGAAATAAAAGTAATATAAATAAATGTTGTGTTTTTTTTACTTACTACATAAATAAGCTACAATTGTGTACATTTCGGTAGTCCAAAAGTATATAATATGTAGGATATGTCAGTTAAAATTGCTTCATTGGTACACTGAAGATTTCTATGATGGCCACCAAATTAAAATTATATAACAATAAAGCTTTCAACAAATTAATTAAATTTAATTATTAAATCAAGGAATGGAACAGTTTTGATGAAATTTTAAAATCAGCCTTATGTAATTTTGTAGCCAATAACAAAAATGGTATCTTAGTGTTATTTTCATGCCCAAAATGGAACTATTGTATTTGTACACATGTTAAAGCTACTCAAATACTTCGGCTGATAATATTATTATATTAGTCACATACCGCCATAAACTAAATTAGCCTTCTCAAGACAGTTGGTTTCGCAAATAATATGATTCATTTGATGTAGCATTTTATCTTAATATTTTTGCAATTAGTTACGTAAGAACTATTTCCCATTTGAATGCTTACGTTTGAATGCCTCACAGCTCTTTCTTAAAGCAATATAAGAAGATAGAAGTTATTTAATAATATACTAACTGACCCAGCGAACTTCGTACCGCCTAACATTCAATAAGTGTCGTGTTAACTTTTAGCTGAACTAAATTAGGCTTTGATGAATGTAATACAATGATATAATATAAATATAAACATAGATAGATTTATAAAAGTATTTTATTATTATAAACATTACATACAGAAAGAGAATAAAAATAAAAATTAAGTACTTCAAACACGTGTCAGATTTTTTTTATTAAAGTATGTTGTATGTTGTGATTAAATTAAAGTATGTTGTGTACCATGTGATGCACTCGGATTAACTCTGTTCATTCAAGCACCTTATGGTAAACGACATTCTTTGTTTTTTTGTCAGGCGCCAGAACATATAAAGGGGACACGTGAACATGCCATGTACAATTGACCATGACCAAAACATTGCAAAACATGCATTTTCTAAATTGAGACCACAAATAGTTTTCGATACAATGCTTGGCCCTGTTATTTGTTAATCGTCATGGCGAAGGCAAGACGAATCTGGTATTGAATTTATTTAAATTCAAAGGGTACATCCGTTAGGATCATCGGAATCCTTGGAATTAGAACTTCCTTATCCTTATAAAAGAAATTTACTCTTTGCAAACAAATTTAAAGAGTACCTTTACTTTCGAGACATAAACAATAGTTTAGATCATAGTGATTAGACTTTGGATAGTGCACTTTTTAACCTTTGTAATCATTAATCTTATAAAAAAGACTTACGTTTTCGATACCCTTTAAAATTAATATTAAAAAATGTGATCGGGACCAGAATAGCAGAATACATCTTAATGGTTTTTGTTTATATTTGTAGGGACAATTCCAATGAACCAAATACTATGAAATTTGGTCTAGCCGATCTTGAGTTATAAGTGTTGGAACATACCCGTCTTTGTTTTATGTATGTAGATTTTATATAGTTCCTTTTCTTGTTAAGATAGCAAATCAATATTTATTTCGTAATCACGTACGCATCATTGTAGTGATAGTAATGTGTTACAATTTCGTTTTACGAATTACTATATTAATATGTACGTGAAGCTTCTTTAAAGTCTATATTTGTATAATTATGTATAAACATAAATCTCCCTTGGTCACACCGTCACGCGTGAATGGTTAACCGATTTCACTAGATTTTTGTTGTTTGTTATTGTCAGACATAATTTATAATGACAAAAAATCCTGAAAATCCTATGTAAACGATAGAAAACGGAATGACGCGTAAAAAGTCGCGGACAGAAGTTAATATCAAATACAAAGCACTTCTAATAATACATTTTTCATTTACGGTATTTGTTTAACGGAAAATAAAGGTTGCTGGTCTTTTGTTTTTCAATTTTTTATGAATATGAAAGACAAATCTTCTTTGGAATCAAAGTCAAAGTCAAAATCATTTATTTCAATTACACCAGTAAGGCACTTTTGAACGTCAAAACAAAATATTTAAATATTAAATAAAAAGAAAAAAAAATGACAGTCTGTAGGTCAGTCCTCTAGTGAAGCTATTTGCTCGTTCCAAAGTGTAGATTCCTATGGAGAAATGTAATGTAAATAATATGAAATGACAATGTAAACTACTAATGATAATAATGTAAAGACAATGACGTCCTTTGGTGCATTTGAAATTTACGGAGTGCCCTTACTTCGACCGAAACGTATTTAATGGTCTCTTTTGACCCGAGCGTACGGAGTCGCGGAGAACCTAACGGGTAACCGGGGCTCCGGCTCGGCGTGCAGGAGTAGGAACGTGGTGGTTTTTAGTCAGTAAGAGTCTGACACTCCCTTCCGCCTCACCCAGGCGGGAGCAGTCATTCGATGATTTCCCCCCCTTAAAAAAAATGGTCTCTTTTGGAATTCTTTAATATTATTTTTATCAAATTGAGTGAATGGAGTAGATATGGTTTAAGTACTTAAGACGTAAAATTAAAAGTATATAATTGTATTTATTCTTAGACGATCACAATAAAGTTCTAGTTAATTTTAAATGGTAAAAAAACCAAATAGTGGACAATGACAAACATACACCAACATTTAAATATTAATAAGCTTCAACTTAAAAAAATGTAAAATCTAATTAAATACCATATTGTGACACATTATCAAGTTTACAACATCGGAGTAATCCAAAGCATTATTCTAATTTAAGTGGTAGTTATAAGCCTACAACATAATGACCTATGAATTAACACTATTTACTTGTATTTACACTATCTTGTTTGTTCTGTTGATTAGTTTTATGCGAGACACACGTGATAACTATCGTATTTTTATTTTAATGGCTCAATGTATTACAACTGTTTCTGGAATGTTAAGTTAGTAAAGTGTTATTGTAAAACTTTTGCTGAGACAGTTATTAATATGGAATTAGGCAACTGATGTATTCTGATCCTTAAACGGGTAGGCAGAATAAGTTTACAACTTAATTATAGCACTTTTTCGCCACTGATTTGAGTACCGCATAAAAGGGATAACAATGACTAGGCGTAATGTTCATACTAGGGTCACTAGGCGTTATTTTATACTGTAACGTACCTAAGTGCATCTGGTCCTTAACGTTTAAGTTTAAACTTAGTTGGTTTAAGTACCAACATAAAAAGACATAGCAAGTTTAAAAAAAATCCCAACCTAGGTCTACCACTGATTGCGTTCTATAAGTTCTTATTTTTCAACCGTACAAACTGTAGTCTAACAAGGCTAGTGTTGTTTTTGATTTAGATTTCATGCGACACTGAAGAAAAACAAAGCTTGGTCCAGTACAGCAGCAGTTTTATATTATACGTGGGAAACTTAGCACTGATCTGTGCTTTGGCTTATACATGCTCATAGCGAGCCAATTAAAGATTCGTGTTGAACAAGATAATTATAGGCTGCCAACGCACGTATGACTCTTTTGGTGTTGCAGGTGACTGGTCTGCGTGCCACGTTTGTCGCCTTATCCGTAACAAGATTTTCAGATTTGGAAAACCGCAGTCATACGTTACATATACCTACCTACCGTAGCACTTTGACAACGATGAAAATGTGTCTGAACATAGTGAATATTGCATATTTCAGAATAGTATTATTATGAAATATTCAATTTACAACGAAGGAATCTTGGTGAAGTCTACTGTGTCCGTTTACTTGAAACTACATTAGCAACTTTCTTCAGTTCAGTATTCTGAAAATCTTGTTTTATACTTTTTCAGTGTCGTTTTTTTTTCATAGTTGGGTTTTAGTTCTTTTACTTTTTATTGTACTATTTTGGTGTAAAAGTGTATTTGTGGCGCATAATATTAACAAAAGTTAAATTGATGAACTAAAAACTAGGTAGCGTGATACCAAACACGGTGTATTTATTTTAATTTTATATTAACATAGAACTTTTTGTCCGCTAGGGGGCACAATACTAAATTTGGTGACAAGCTTTATAACTCGTAACTAACAGAATATCAAGGCCCTTTTAATGGTACTGCAGTGGTTTTATTCTAATAAGTAGCAAAGAAACTATGAACGAAAAGATGTGAATTATATGCAATTAGCCCATGAATACAGGTAAAGTCACTAGCAAATGCTAATCATATATATATATATATATATAATATATATAATTATTCAAAATCCAGCGGGCAATTAAGACGCTAATGATATGTCATTTGTCGAATTCTGATAAGTAGTTTAGAAGTTACGAGGGAACAAAGTAACCTATAGACTTTCTTGCTCGTTCTTCTCCATAGGAATCTACACCTTGGAATGAGCAAATAGCTTCACTTTTAAATTTCTATTGCTGACGTTCAAAAGTGCCTTCCTGGTCTAATTGAAATAAATGATTTTGACTTTGACTATTGTGAAAGTTCTAAATCATTGAATATTTAATTTAATTTAATTTCATACTTAAATACATACATAGCCTGTCAAAATCATAACTCCCCTTTTGCTTTGCCTTAGTCGGGTAAAAATAATAGATAATTCAAATTATGAAATTGATACTTAACTGACTGTGACGTACCGTGAAAGTACCCTTAAAGTGAATTAATTAATTATGGGATCAAGTATGTGTAAAAGTATATTATTGTATAGAAGTATTGTCTAATGGAGAGCGATTTTACTATTAAAAGTGACGCCGCAATGTAAGTCTTGCTTACACCTCGTATTGTAAAAAAAAATATTATACCTTAAACTAATACCTGATACAAAAATAGTTTCTTCTGTATA